GGCGATGAATTCAACGATAAATGAACAGCGCGCACTCCACTTGTTTTCAAAATAATCTATATATTCGGAACAAGTTATATATATATGCACAATAAATTCTTTACGCTATGTATATCAGAGTTGTATCTTAAATACTATACATAGTTATCTTTTTCTTGTCAAAAGTCTACTTAAGCCTATTCAATTGCTTTAGAATTTCAGTTGACAAGCCGAACTACCTTTCTCTATTTCTATCGTAATAATATTCCGTGTATAATTTACTTACAATTATAGCTTGAATTACCACAGTCGTATACTGCTCTTCCAGTAATCGTCTGTTCTTTTTCTCAAAGTGCACTCAGCGGTTGGTTCAATTACTTTAGAACTAACTTTGACGGAATAAGTTGAAAAGGATGAACTCATAGAGCTAACAGAAGATGTAGAGCCTAATGTAAGTATTACTAGCACGATAGCTAAAGTGCAAAAAAAAAGTTGTGTTAATGTTTCAAAGGTCACCAGTGAAAGTTTGCAAAACTGTGTTAAATGTGAACTTGGTAAGGAATTGCAACTGAAATTTGATTCACAAACAGGATGGAACAGTTTACTAGAAACGTTAGAGAGATTTGTTTGTTTCGAATTTCGCGCAAAGCTACTCGAGAGCTATTTACGCCATCTCTAATTTAGCAGTGACAGACTGGAGGGAAGGGAGCTAGTCAACACCACCCCTCGCCAATTCTCGGGCTACTCTTTTATCAACGACTATTGGGATTGGCCGTCATATTATAACGCTGACGGGGAATCGAATCCGCGACCCGTAGATTGCGAGTCGAGCACCCTAACCACCAGGCCTTGTTAAAGAGATTCGTGGCACTGAGGAAATATGATTGATAATCGAACTTAACTGGATATTACAGACGAAAAATTTGATGCTATTCAAGAGATCGTATCTACATTACAATCTGTTCAAACTGGAGTTGAAAGGCGCGTTATATGTTCATTTTTGATGAACTAATTGAACAGCATATAGTGTTTGCTGCTAAAATCAAACAATCAATTGAAAATAGACTAGAGGAAAAGATAAATAAGAATTTGGTTGGATTGTTGAGACACTTGAACAATCTCTCTCTCTTTGTGAATATTCAAAATTCTGTACCTGCATAACCACCAAATTCATCACTACAAAAGCTGCCAAAAAAAGTTATTATCTAGGTTTTTCCACAGTGAGATGCTGGGGTTGAAGATAACATACATACAGAAGACTGTCCTCCCTCACCAAAACAAATTCTTTAGCATAGAAGTTGGATGCGGCAATTGAAGAAGCTGTAACCACAAAACACGTTGATGCCCAACAGAAGTACGACTTTAGAAACGTTGGAAAGGTTTGTTTGTTTGTAATTAAGCACAAAGTTGCACAATGGGCTATCTGTGCTCTGCTCACCACGGGTATCGAAACCCGGATTCTAGCGTTGTAAGTCCGCAGACATACCGCTGTGGGCCAGTCACAATGGTAGTAGATTAACTAAAATGTGTATCATACTGCCAACAACGTAACTTTATCAAGAAAGTAGCCACAATGGTAATAGATTTACTAAAATGTGTATTATACTGCTAACAACGTAACTTTATCAAGTAGCCACAATGGTAGTAGTTTAATAAAATGTGTATTATACTGCCAACAATGTAACTTTATTAAGAAAGTAGCCACAATGGTAGTGGATTTACTAAAATGTTTATCATTCTGCCAACAATGTAACTTCACCAAGAAAAGTAGCTACAATGGTAGCACAT